CGTCAACCACACAATAACGAGTAGCTCAGTTTCTTTTTGAAACTGGTTCGTTCGTTGAATGAACCAAATGACTCGGAAAAAGATTCGTTCATTTTGATAAAAGAGTTCGAACAGGAGAGTCACGAACGTGCATCACAGAACAGAGCAAGGCGACCATTTGAGCTTATAAAACTTAAACTTTGTTATTTATTTTTTAAATGAGCGATCGTTTCGCGTGATAAGACCCTTATTCATCGTCTGGAATCGTTTAAAGCCTTTTGAACAGTTTGCAGTTTGTACTGAAAGCGTCTTTTGGACCTTGAACCATTTGGACCCCATTGAAGTCCATTATATGGAGAAAAATCCTGGAATGTTTTCATCAAAAACCTTCATTTCTTTCCGACTGAAGAAAGAAAGACATGGACATCTTGGATGACATGGGGGTGAGTAAATTATCAGCAAAAGTTTTCTCAAAAGTGAACTACTCCTTTAATTAATTTTGTGTGTTATTCTTATCATTTTGATTTGTCAACTTGATTTTCATTTTCTTGTCGGATGTTCTTTTTTTACATAAACTTACAACTAAAATCTCCATTTTAAACCAAAATCATGATATTTCAGGTATTGGTAAATTTTAAGATTTTGGACGATTTTGCTTCTATAACTTGTCTTCTTTCAGACTAGTGGAAAAAAAGTATTACAAATACACATTTAACCGTTTATTTTATTACACTTCATATGTAGATTTCGATTACAATACATATCTTCATATCTGCAGCATTTACACACACCGTACTTTACAGATTTATTCCTTTTATGAAAAACAATGGTAATATTGCATTGGCTCATGTAACACCTGCATCCTGAAGAAAAACCTCAGTTTGGTCAACTGATCCATATTCTCTAATAATGCATGATTTTTGAAAGCATCTGCGCATTGAACAATTCACTGTAAACCCTAACGGTCAAAATAATTAATTGGTTTGAGTAGGACAAACTTAAATTCAACGAATTAGTTCAGTCAAATTAATTTTTAGGAGTATTTATCACTTTCTTTTTCTTTCAAGTTCACAGAACTGATCTATTTTAAGTAAACTGAACCGTTTCATTGTTTTGAGTTTTATGAAATTATTTATTTTAATTTAGACGAACTTAAGTTTAACTGAAACGGCTGGGAAGTTTATACTACTAAAGTTATTTGAGTTCTGCCATCTTATTCGGGTTTACAGTGTACTTCATTTCATAGATTTAAGTTACAGTAACTAATCAGTACTATTAACTTTATTTACCCAAGTTATCTTAAAAATAAGTTATTGAGTTACTTGGAAACAAATCAAATATTTTGTTATGCTTAAATTGTTTGAGTTAATAAACTTAAATGATTTAAGGCAATCGGTTTCCTCAAACGGATGGAGTTGAACTAACTCGTCAGGTTTTACAGTGTTCCTCTCGTTTATAATGCAAGGCTGGAATTTCATTTGGGGTAAAAGCGATGATTATATGACTGGAGACATGGGAGAGAACCAAGTTTATTTCACATGTTGATGACTGACAATTACAGCTACTAAATATTTCATTAAGGATGATTTTTTTCTCTGACTTTGTGAGCATCTGCTGTCCCCTGAAACACCTCGACTGATTCACTGGGAAATTTTCTCCGCATTCTCCCAGTCTGGGTTCAAAGAAAACACAGGTGCATCCACCAACATCTGGTGGGGAGTCTGAAAACACCTAACAATGTCACGGTCTGCTGGGAAAGACCATGGTGGAGGTTGTCTGGATGACAACGTGACATAACTTCCATCAAAATCCTGTCTGGCTTTCAACACCTGCTATCTGAACATATAGTGTATTGGAATGGAACATAACAATGGACTTCCTTTAATTATCTAGAAAAAATATATACATTAATAAATAAAAGGAACATGATCCAATAAAGGATTAGTTTCAATTTGCTGATAATTTACTCACCCCCATGTCATCCAAGATGTCCATGTCTTTCTTTCTTCAGTCGAAAAGAAATTAAGGTTTTTGATGAAAACTTTCCAAGATTTTCTCCATATAATGGACTTCAATGGGGTCCAAACGGTTCAAGGTCCAAATGAGAGTTTCAGTGCAGCTTCAAAGGGCTTTAAACGACACCAGACGATGAATAAGGGTCTTATCAAGCGAAACAATCGCTCATTTCAAAAAACAAAAATAAACAAATCTTTTCCCGAGTCAACTCATTCATTTCGTTCGTTGAATGAACCAAATAACACAAAAAAAGATTCGTTCATTTTGATGAACGAGTTCGAACAGGAGAGTCACGAACGCTCATCACAGAACAGAGCAAGGCGAGCATTTGAGCTTATAAAACTTAAACTTTGTTGTTTATTGTTTTTAAATGAGCGATCGTTTCACTTGATAAGACCCTTATTCATCGTCTGAAATCGTTTAAAGGCCTTTGAACAGTTTGCACTGAAACTGTCTTTTGAACCTTGAATCGTTTGGTTCCCAATGAAGTCCATTATATGATTATATGGAGAAAAATCCTGGAATGTTTTCATCAAAAACCTTGACTAAAGAAAGACAGACATGGACATCTTGGATGACATGGGGGTGAGTAAATTATGAGGAAATTTTAATTATGAAGTAAAGTGAACTAATCCTTTAAAGTCAGGGTAGACTTTTTTTCATAAACAATTTATTATTCTGGTTGAAACTTTGAATAACGTTAAAGTGGTCAAAATATTTCAAAAATGTACATAAATCGCCTAGGGAAGTCTCAGGACTAAAAAATATTTGTCCAATCTTTGCATTGGGTCCAAATGCAATGATAGTATTAGGATGTCCTGCCTGTCAGATTATGTATTTCCATATTTTTCATCAACATGATCAATGGCGAAATGAATCTACAGGAGTCAGGTGATACAACTAGAACTCTGTAAGGTGTTTATGTTCATTATTATTGTTATGTTATGTGCGCATGTGTTTTGAAGGAGGTGTGGCTTTGGAGACGCTCTGATCTTAGCTAGCTTGCTATTGTTAGCCTCTCTGAAATCGCCTACCCTACCTTTAAGCTTTCACTTTTTTTTAGGTGAGCCTATTTGAATTTGTTCACTTTGTTTCATTCTATAAATTAAAAAAAAATGACTATTAATATTGACAATGTATTTCTATTTTTGTAAAATATAATTAGAAGAACTTAATTTGTGATAACTGAGGAAAACTGCTAAATTTGTTTGAGAAGTAGGCAAAGAAATATAGTGTGTATGTGCACAAAAGTAACACACACAATCAACAAACAAGTAAAATAATGAGCTCTCAAAATCAACATATAACAAATAACCAGTGAAGACAAGAACAGCAGGAGTAGAAACACAAATAAAGTCAGCAAATCAATAATCCCATAGTAACTGCAACTCCATTTGATTCACATTGCAATGCATGCTGGGAGCTCACAAACCATTTTTTGCAGCAATGTTCAATATAAAAAATTGTTTGTACAACTCAAGTGTCAGACTAGATGAGACAACGTAAAAAAATACTGTTCGTGTAGCAGGTGTCTCTAAGTAGATTCACTTAAATTCATATTTTGTTGTCTCTATGGCTCAAAAAGGGCTGTACGGTATAAAAAGTAATGGTTTTAACAGGAAATTGGTCGCAGATGGGATGTCAGTTCTTGATTAATTTGCCATTAATCTTACACTTTCATCCACAAACACTTACAGTAAACTTTAAGTAAATTCTTACAATGAAAAGCACAAAAATGACAGACGAACACATGTAGAGCTTGAACCTACAGCCCAGATATCTCACCATGTATCTGACTATGGCTTTTCACAAAGTGCCTGATGCCTGTAATGATGATTGACCGATTGTAACTTTTGATATCATCTAGTATAATATGAAATGTCAGAAAACCGGCATTATGAAAGTATCAAGTCTTTGCATTCAAGTTTAACTAAAAAAATGCACTGACAATTTAGTCCATTAAACCACTTCATGCAAACACACACTGCAACTCTATCAGAAACAATGACATGTTAATCAACCACAATGTAAAGTTACATAATAACCCTGTAGAGCTAAAAGTGCTGGGAAGAATCTAATACACTGATTCGCATGTCAAATTTGACTGTTTTTAGTAGCCTAGATGTGGCTTTGCAACTGCACTCTGTGGCACGCCAACAGGAAAGCCTGTCTTAATGAAAATATACCGCAATAATAAATCCAGTTTTGCTTCACATTGTTACACAACACAATCACGTCTCACATTTCACACTATATGTGAAGTTACTAGTTTACTAGTTTATTTACCTTTTCGCGTCTTGCTCCTTGTTTCTCCATCCTGTCCTACTTTAATATCCAACTGTTTTAAACTTTAGTCCCATGATATTTCACACGACTCGAATCCATGAGAAAAAGCCTCGACTAAACCGTTTTCAGATTCAGATAGTGTGTTGATGCACAAATCGGCTCGTGCACAGCGCTTGCAGAAACGCTCAAGCTCTTGAGAAAACAGTTATTCCAGAGGAAAGTTCGCCATGTTTTTCTTCTCTCTCTCCTCCCGGTAGAGGCGGTTCAGATGGTTTCAGTAGTTCAGGGCTTCAGTTACTATTTATGACATCAGACGGGAGTTGAGTTACCTACTCCGACTAGTTAGGCCCACATTACAGTGCATTTCACTTACTGGAGCATCTTTCATAACTTTAAGTCTTATTGTGTGACAAAATATTTTCAAACTATGATTATATTTTCAAAGTAGAAACATTGACTGATCAATATAATTCGTTTACTATAGCCTATAGTTAACCTATCTACTCAAATAGATTGCGAATTATATATATTTTTTTATTTACAAAATAATAATAATAATATTATCATTAATACCATGTGCAGTGAGCTGCACCGTTCTTTGACAGCATACAGTGTAACTGAATCAATAGCCTAACATACAAACACTTAAATATATAGGCTAAATAAAATTAACATGTTCAAAGTCCCTCTTGATTGAAAAAAAAAAAATCTCAGACTCATTTAAAAATGTTTTTTTTTTATTAAAGTTCATTTACATTGTATTTACAAATTTACATTTGCAACATTCGCTTGTTGCATTAATTTACATAGTGCAAATATTCGGTAGAGTCGTAAATTCTCAAGAGTGAGGACATTTCGGCGCATGCGCAATTGCATGCTGCTCTGCCTGACGAGAACGAGCGGGAATTTTACCTCAGGAGGAAAATATGACAGAAAACTATTTTGAGGTATGTAAATAATTTAGGGATGTCCAATAGTACTGTATAAAGTTTGCCTGGGTTTGAATTTAAACTTACAAAAACTTATTTCTAGTTTAAATGTAAGTTTATCTCAAGATTGTGGAGAATTCAACTTGAATGAAATATGCTAGCTCGTCGATTGTAAACATAGAAAACTGCATGACTTTTGAATATTAAAGATGCATTATTTCATCAAAATATGTGGCTAAATATCCATTTCAAGTAATTACAATGAATACCACAATTTTGCACATAATTCTTTGCTAGCAATAAGAATGTGTACATTACCCCATAACGAGGTAACTGTTACACTCTCACCTATTATATTAGGCTAAATGTAATATTATAACCCTGTGTTTCTCAATAGGCTATAAATAATTCACGGTACTATTTTAGCGCAAAACAATACTTTTTGCAGGTTTTGAGTTAAGAAGAAAAATGTTTCCCCCAGTCACTCATCCATAAGCTCTGTTTCATAAGAGCATTTATATTTAAATTGTTTTCCCTTTGCAAGCCTTTATGACCGTTTTCGTTCAGGATCTCGAGGTCTTTGCAGTTTAGTTTGCATCCTGATGCATTTCTTATATAATCTGACTGGAGAGTCTTTTCTCTTCGAGCGCTTGAGGTTCATCCTCTTGAGTTTGCGTCTGAAGTCCACTAGATGTCGCCCACCCGCCATGTCTTTCCTCCAGTGTTGGATGAGCTGTGCTTCTGCTGGATGGGTTGAGCAACTAAATAAAACAGACACCACAAAGATTGTTTTTTGTTTAATGGTTTCCACCTCAGAAGAACTCCCTTCACTGAGATTCACTGCATTAACTGTCCATTTTTTGCAGTATACATTATACTTTGTTTAGTTGGCACATTCTCATTCACAGCACCTTGCACCACATATTTACTGCAAAGGGATAGTTCCAAAAATGAAAATTCTGTCAAGTTGTTGCCTGTATGCATTTCTTTCTCGTGCTGAACACAAAAGAAGATATTTTGAAGAAATAGTCAATGGTGCCAATCAACATTCTTCAAAATACCTTTCATTCAGGTTTGGGAAAACTTGCAGGAGAGTAAATGATGACAACATTTTCATTATTTGGTGAACTATCCCTTTAAGAAAAAATTACCAACTTTTGAGTTGCTACAGATATTTAACCATAACGTCTGTACCAACCTTTTTCCATTGAGACAGTTCTCAGGCTGTGGTAGGGTGAAACAGGATTGTGACACGAAGTCCATCAATAGAGAGTGCACAGGGTCAGTTTCATCCAGCTCTTTGGACAAGATCTTTTGGACAAGCCTGTGGAAGAAAGCAACAGATGATCTCCGATTAGCAACCGAAAAAAAACAGCCGTAAGGATCAGTCAGCTAGTCATGTTACTTTTAAAATACGAGTTGTCACATATCCCTAGAAGAGAGATAGAGATGTGCAATCACCTGGCAGTACAGTTACAGTGATAAAGGGTTCTCTGGTCAGGGTTTCGAAGACCGAATTTCTCTTGTAAAGCAGGGATCTGTAGATGGCAGGAGTCCAGGTCCCTGTAGATGTCGCACATCTCCAATTTGCCTATAAAGCCAAAAAAGAAAATGAAGCTTTTCCAAGATTCTCAACTTCACAACAGATCTAATATAAGTAATTTAGTTCACCTTGATGTGGCCTGTCTGGTTTATTTTGGGGGGATGTTGTCGTTGGTGCTCGTGTTGAGACTCCGGAAGCTGCAGCTTTCCGGGACAGCAGTGTTGTAGCAGATGGCCATGGTGATGTCGAAACTGAATCTTTGGATTGTATGATAAGAGATTCTTCTATGTGTTTGGTGACCTGGTTTTGTCCTGAAGTGATTGCTTGATTGAAACTCATTTCCAGAGTCTTCATGTCTTGTTCAGGGAGTGTGTCGGTGTAGTTTGCTGCATCTTTGACCACGGCGTATTGAGCGAGTTCAGAAGTGACGCACCTGGCAATGATGAGAAAAAAAGTAGTTTCTGTAACTGTGTAACATAATGTGCACAGAGATTATGTACAAATCACAATGAAGTGCCAAGATTTCCCAGTTACCAAAGTTCGACAGGTTTTTGCTTGTTTTGTGTCTGCCAGTAAAAAAATTGCCTTGTATTTTGACCTCAAATTGTCAATATTGCCAGTAAAATTGCAATTGCCTAAGCTTGTCATTGATCCATAAACCTTATTTAACTAAAAACCTAAAATTAAATGAAAAAAAAACTATTAAATTTTTTTTTTTTTTACAAAATAAATGCTTCCATGCTACCTTTTTTTCTAAGTCCCCCTGTAATCATTAATTTTATCCCTTAAAACTCATCTTTAATCACCAAAATGACACATTTTCCTTGGAAACTGAATGTAACTCGACACCCTCGCCTATTATGAATATGCAAATGAGCCCCGCCTCCACTCAGAGATCCACCGGTTGATGATCACACGTTGATCTGATTGGTTACAAGGAAGTTTGTGACCAGCGATTTCAAACCGCGATTGTTCAAATGCGTGTTATATCTACGGTAGCCGTTATGTACCAAAAAGCTATGACAGGATGTCTTCTAATAGCACCCATAGACCTCATCAAGCGTTCCTTTGGGTGGACAGGTTTGTTGTTTCAAACAAAAGGCGACTTGCTACTAGGCAACTAGTGGAACTACTTGGAAGCCTCTGTGGACCTACCCGCCCCATGTATATAAAGATAATAAATTCTTTGTTTATGAGGACGTGAGGTGTTTGTACACCATTGAGGACATATTTATGAATAAAAATATTGATTTTACATAATAAAATACCTAAAAAAGTACACATTGTCCCTTTAAAGGTCTTGTTTTACCTTTATCATTGCTTTTGTTTTCTGAAAAGTGAGAATGTTGTGCAACAGAAAAGAGCTGAGTCCAATGAAAGCAAATACATACATGCCCCACCACGTTCTCTTGGCACACTGCATCCGATGGGCGAACTCAAAGCAGCTCATCTTGAGCACGTTGAAGTATCCGTATCCCACAAGGTTGGACATGGTATCATTAACTCCCAGGAGACAGCGGCGGAACCTGAATTGATATCACAAGACCTTGATTACAGTGTTATAAGATACAGTAATCCAAGACGCTTGCTCAGTGAAATAACTCTATATGTCTCATGTAACACAGCAGAACACTATAGGATGAATGTTCAATGCGGACCGGTTGGACGCTCACTTTTCTCGCTCTAATGAAAAAAGTAGGACATACCTGTTGTCACAATCGCAGTGTGATAAAGTGAAGATATTTGTGTTGAAGACGCCATGGTCGTACGAAAAAGAGCCGATGGTGTCTTTACAGTGGTCGTGTTCTCTGCAGCATTTATCAGTATCTTCAAAGACACCTGAAAGACAAGAGAACAGGTAAAGAGCTTTATTTTTATTCTTTATTCTTTGTTGTACAGTGGGGTCCACATGTCTGAGAATGCTAGTGAAAAGCTTCTATTTTTTATTTTATATAATTTAATTCAAAACTTTCATAAACTTAAAAGTTATATGAATAAATTGACATGAATTTGATGTCTTAAAAAATATTCTTCAAAAAATATTACATTTATTGTATTGTACCAAGGTGGAAAATTGTCTTTGGCAAACTAGCACATACAAAAACAGGCAGTAGTAAGAAAAACATGCCACTGTCACTTGGTGTATCAATCACTTGCAAAGTGACAAATTGATGGGGTTTTTTTGGGAGGGGGTTCCCAAAATCTTTAAATTGTCCCGGATTGGAACTGGCTGTAATGCCTTTACAAATCCAACATGACATCATGACTTATGCGTAAACATACATGCCACTTTCAAGTCAAGTGGCATGTTATCTATACGCATTTTGAGCTATCCGCGTGTATGTCTACGCCTTTAAATGACAGAGTGATTCCGCGTGTATGTACACGCCGTTAAATGTCCGAGCGAAACGAAGCAAAATGTAGATCTAGGGAGTGAAGACTCATAAATGCTATTAACCCCAGTGATGGGTAGGTTTAGGGACGAGGTTGGGGTAGGTCATATATTTATACATACAGTAATGGTTAAATCAGTGGCGTTCATAAACACGCTGAAAAGCGATTGTGCGTGTTGATAGCACGGCAAAAATGGAAATACGAATTGGGGTGTCATACTTACGCCATTTCATGAGATCAGTCTGACAAATCGTTTGTTCCGAATAAATTGTTCAGAGGGTGTATCTAACTGTCACGTGATTTCAGTAAATCCAATACTTAAAGTCCCCGTGTACCGGAAGTCGCAAACGATTTTTCTCCAGTGCTGTGACGTATTTCCAAGTGAAACGGAATATTGAACAGAGGGCAGGGTTTTACTCTAGCGCTCCTCCTCTCCATCTCTCGCTCATAGCAAACTAACGGTTTGAGGGGAGTGGTTAAGCGTTTCCCCACCCAAACTGTGAAACCTACGTCATCAGAAAAAGAAACCGTTCCAGACCGGAAGTAACTTTTCAGATTTTGATTAAAGATTACCAAGGTAAAACATTTTTTTAATATATTTTTACTTGCACGGATTAATTGTTCACCACAAGACTAGTAATATGCGCTAACAATGCTGAGGCAAAAAATAGTGGAGCAATATCAGAAAGGAGTTTCTCAGAGAAAAATTGCAAAGAGTTTGAAGTTATCATCATCAACAGTGCATAATATCATCCAAAGATTCAGAGAATCTGGAACAATCTCTGTGCATAAGGGTCAAGACCGGAAAACCATACTGAATGCCCGTGATCTTCAGGCCCTTAGACGGCACTGCATCACACACAGGAATGCTACTGTAATGGAAATCACAACATGGGCTCAAGAATACTTCCAGAAAACATTGTCAGTGAACACAATCCACCGTGCCATTCACCGTTGCCGGCTAAAACTCTATAGGTCAAAAAAGAAGCCATATCTAAACGGGAACCAGAAGCGCAGGCGTTTTCTCTGGGCCAAGGCTCATTTAAAGTGGACTCTAGCAAAGTGGAAAACTGTTCTGTGGTCAGACGAATCAAAATTTGAAGCTCTTTTTGGAAAACTGGGACGCCATGTCATCCGGACTAAAGAGGACAAGGACAACCCAAGTTGTTATCAGCGCTCAGTTCAGAAGCCTGCATCTCTGATGGTATGGGGTTGCATGAGTGCGTGTGGCATGGGCAGCTTACACATCTGGAAAGGCACCATCAATGCTGAAAGGTATATCCAAGTTCTAGAACAACATATGCTCCCATCCAGACATCGTCTCTTTCAGGGAAGACCTTGTATTTTCCAACAAGACAATGCCAAACCACATACTGCATCAATTACAACATCATGGCTGCGTAGAAGAAGGATCCGGGTACTGAAATGGCCAGCCTGCAGTCCAGATCTTTCACCCATAGAAAACATTTGGCGCATCATAAAGAGGAAGATGCAACAAAGAAGACCTAAGACAGTTGAGCAGCTAGAAGCCTTTATTAGACAAGAATGGGACAACATTCCTATTCCTAAACTTGAGCAACTTGTCTCCTCAGTCCCCAGACGTTTGCAGACTGTTATTAAAAGAAGAGGGGATGCCACACAGTGGTAAAAGTGGTCTTGTCCCAACTTTTTTGAGATGTGTTGATGCCATGAAATTTAAAATCAACTTATTTTTCCCTTAAAATTATGCATTTTCTCAGTTTAAACATTTGATATGTCATCTATGTTGTATTCTAAATATAATATTGAAATTTGAAACTTCCACATCATTGCATTCTGTTTTTATTCACAATTTGTACAGTGTCCCAACTTTTATGGAATTGGGTTTGTAAAAAACATATCACAAAGAACTGAAATAATGCTAGACAAGGACTGGCTTAAAACAGAGAGCTTAGGCTATGTTTACATGGAAACGATTCTGAAGAGAAAACGCAAAAGTGGGAAATCCGCTTGCATACGGTGACGCAAAAGTGCGTGAAATTCAATGTAGTATGCACTCCAGGCAGCTTGGTGGCAACGTGAAGCACTGCCACACAACAACACCAAGTCTGCGCCCCTGCGTACAACCTTCACTGTCAAGCACACTTTTGCGTTTTTACCCTTTACACAGGAACGCGGCTGGCGAGCGTTTTTAAGATTTCCACTCTGGAGGGCGGTTTCACTTTTTTGCGTTTTTAAAGTCCCCATGAAATCAAAATTGACCATACTTACTTTGTTTGCCTAAATTGATCGTTTTGTGGTGAACAATTCATACATGCAAGTCAATCCACACAAAAAAAAATGTTTTGGCTTCGTAATCTTTAATCAAATTTTGAAAATGCCCCTCCCCTCTGCATTGGAAGACCTTGCCCGATGACGTAGGCTTTACGGTTTGGGTGTCTCCTTAACATCCATAACCACGCCCCTCCAACTGACAGCTGCTGTGTGTTTGCGAGCGCCGAGCGAGCATTGATTGACAGCGTGTGTAAACTTGCGTCATCCTCCATTTCAGAATGAAACACCCATTTTTCTAGATCCAATCAGGTGCTAGTTGGGAAAAAAAAGCCACGCCCACTATTTTGCCTCATTTAGTATTCCGTTTCTCTCGGAAATACGTCACAACACGAGAAAACTCGTTTGCAACTTTCGGTTCACGGGGACTTTAACTGTAAACGAAAGGCACATCCGATCAAATATTTTTACGTTTTCACCCGTGAGCGTTCTCGTAAACAGGGCTTTAAATGCATAGGCAAACGAGACACACCTGAACAGAATACTCAAATCAATGAGTAACCATATGGCGCTTTTCCACTGCACAGTACGGTACGGTTCGGCTCAGTACGCTTCGACTCGGCGCGGAACAGTTCGGCTCGCTTTGCGTTTCCACTGCAGTAGTACCCCTTCAAAGTGTGTGGGACTGATCGTTATTTGCGCGTGCCTCTACTGCCATGACATCATCTTAAAAGCGCCACATTTTCAAACCCACAACACAGGAACAATGGAGACTATCGAGGGGATGGTGTTCCTGATTCTCGGTATGTGGTTGTTTTTAACTGCTAGACGGAAAAATGTGTTTAAAATGAGGCTGATGGCAGCAAAACAAAAATACTGCTAACAAAGTGTCTCGTGTCGCAAATCCAATGACGCTGGTAGTGACGCTGGTAGTGACGATTCTGTCTGACCAATCAGTGATCTGCAGTGTTTCACGTCACATTTTAGTACCGGTACGGTATACGCTTGGAACCTCAACAGACCAGGTACCATTTAAAGCGACCTGAAGCGAACCGTACTGTACCGTACCATGCAGTGGAAAAGCACCACAAGTGAGCCGTACCGAACCGTACCGTACTATGCAGTGGAAAAGCGCCAATAGTGACAAACAGAGGGAACTGGCCTAATTAACAGACAAGAGGAAGAACAAAGAAACAGAACAGACAAAGAAATCAAAACACGATATTTTCAGTGTCATCTCAGACCTTTGGATCCCACTGTATATTTATATACACATCATTATTCATATTTTTCATTTAAATGTATATAAACATCCATATAAACTTACCCAGGTCAGTAAAGCCAGCAGCCTTATTTCCCGAGCCACACCACAGGGTCCCAGGAATCATCCATGCTCTCTTCGAGCGGCGTAGCGCCTGTGTGTGCCGGTACACGGATCCATCATCAGCTCCAACACTCATCAGGTCTCTGGCCCTCCGCACGGATGCTGTAAACTCCTCCGTAATCCCAGCAGCCTCACAGGAGCCGCCAGGTGCGGTCAGCTCACTGACGTCAAAGCGTGCGTCCAGACTCTCGGAGAAAGAGCTGTCTTCCCGACACCTGGACAGGTAACTCTCAATAACAGACTGCTCATCACTTGTGATGCAGCTAAGAAGGCTGTTGTTTTGGTTCCAGATGCTGTTATACAGGAGAAGAGATGTCGGAGTCCTCCGGAGAAATGCACACTGTGTTCTTCCAGCTAAAGTGGATCGGCTCCAAATACAGAAAGTGCTCCTTTTCAAATCATCAGCACTGAAACAACCATGAAACAGCATAAAGAGGCACACAGCTGCCTGGAAAAGGTGGTTGCTTTGCATTTTTATCCCAATAAGTGTACCACAATTTTGTGTATTTTTCAAATTTGTACTTGAATGAATGAATGCATGAATATGCTGCTGGGTAACTGGGTTTTTAACCCCTCAGCTCTGGCAGAGAGCGCATCTCAACTCCTTCTTATTTATACTCCCATCCGCATGTGAGATTATCCCTGCATTGTGGCCACATCAGAGCAGACGGGGTGGGATGACACAAGGGGGTGTGTCTTGGGTAAACACAGATGTCTACACACACATATACTTATAAGATGTAAATTAGATCGTAAACCCTCCCCACTTCCTGAGTTCACATGAATATAATTATCTCTCCGGCTGATCACTATCGCTTTTTATTAGTGTCAACAATGCCCTCAGCAGTAAACATTTAATATCTCATTAGTCATAATATACGATTCTTTACAACGTGACAAAAAGATTCAAACTCCACGTGGGAGGAGAAAGAAACATCCGATCTAAAACCATTGCATCTGTGTGTTCAGATTAAATTAGGTCAGCATTTCTATTCTGTGCATTATTATATTACATTTTGATTAGTGCTTTTTTATTTGGTGTGCACAGTAAATTTGATCAATATTTATTGCCATACACACAAACCAGATTTCGAATGTGTTATTTGCTTATTTATGTATGCACAAATATTGTTTTGTCTCTAAAACAGACATTATTAAGCTCGATTTTTTTTTCCGTGCATATTAACAGCACAAATTTGCAACTTGCATATGGTTTTTTTAGGGCTGTCAAACGATTATTCGCGATTAATCACATCCAAAATAAAAGTTTGTGTTTACATAATATATGTGGGTGCACTGTGTATAATTATTTTGTATGTGTATATATATATATATACACGCACATGCTTGTATATATTTAAGAAATATTTTCATGTATATAGTTTATATAGATTTATACATAATTTATATTATATATAAATAATATTTTTTTCTTAAATATACATGCATGTGTGTGTATTTATATATACAAAATAATTATAAGTGCACCCACATATATTATGTAAACACAAACTTTTATTTTGGATGCGATTAAACGCAATTAATCATTTGACAGCCCTAGTTTTTTTTTTTGTTTGTTTGTTTTTTTGCATATTAACTGACAAACAGCACAGGACGTAGTGTCTGTTCAAATTCATTTTACCCACTGATTACCCACAATGATAAAGTCGTTATAAAGCACAAAAGTTGTGCCCAATATTCTTTTCAGTTGATGGTCTGCATGCGTTTGATTTGAAATGCTCATGTCAAAAATGTTAAGATTACCATTGCATTTTAAATCATATATTGTCTTTCAGTTTCTAACAAAGATACCAGCCAATTTATAGCCGCAGAAGTCAATTTGTGGCAATTTGTGCTTGGCGAGGGTTCATTTTGAACCCATTTACACAACTTCAGGAGGCTGCAGTGTTTACATGAGGATGCAAAGGTCATGCGGGTTTGTTGTACGTGTCCACCTGAGCTGATTGGCGCAGACCTCGCCTGATTCGCACAAAGTTTCTGCCCAGTCACCATTGGATGCGGTCCTAATCAGTTAACCATTACACCTCTTTTATGGTATTTCCACTGGCAAATCCAATTCTAACATCATCAAATGAGGTAAAAAAAAAAAACACAAGCTTGAGGAAACGAAAGAAAATTACATAATTGCCATCAAATGAGAGGCTAAAAACGTTTCTTTCAACTATTACTTTAAGGTAGAATGCCCTCTGAGGAATACTTACACTGACTGTTAGCTCAATGTGGAATAATTGCAATTACGCCATTACAGTCAAAACCCCGGTGAGCAAGAATTTTCTTTCTGCCTTTGGTTCAGAGATATTCATTCAAACATGGAAAATAGACTCATTCTGGATTCGAGAAATTAGTTAGCATAATATATTGAATGGGGTTTAGCCAATGTTACTTGTTTTTAATGTGTTATTTCTGCACCACCAACAACAATTGGAAAAAACTTGCTTTAAACAGGTTTCACAAACACTCCCCTCGTCTGCCATTGGTCAGCCAAACAGATAGCCCCGCCCGATCTCACGTTGATGGTGGACTCAGTGTTGCCGCACAAACCAGACAAGAGGCTCAAACAAACAGAACAATGTTTTGATAGCAGGGCTTGACATTAACACCCACCAACCAGCCAGCCAAATGCGATGCGTAACACAGACACTCCTACTTGCCATTTTTGTGGGTTAAATTTTACATATAATATATACATTTTCAATTTCAGTCTTAAAAAACGGCATCTGAAATAATACACTTATTTAAAAATATATATACATTTTTCGCTGCATTTACAAGCTGCTCTCTCTTTCCGACAGCGAGTGACACACAAACCCGCCTCTCTTCACTCACTCGTTTCATTGGCTCCGGATGAATATTGTTGCGGTTGCAGGGATTGAATTTTAGCGTCGGATTGAGCGTGTTGTGCATAATTGTACTCATTCCCGCAGATGTTGTCAGTGATCTGAAACGTTTAGGTTGACGTCACATCCGCAGACAGCGCGGGAAAAGTCCAACCCGACAGAAAATAGGAAAGTAGGATACAGGCTTATAGGTGCACCCACTGTGAGCGGACAAGGTGTCAGTATGCTCATCAGGAGATGTTTTAGTCATAAATGGTAAAATAAAAAGGGTATTGTTACGTTTATTTTGGGGAAAAAGCTGCATATAGCCTCTTTAATAGAAAGGCTTTCTTTGTCATAGAAATAAAGTACTGCAGTGTTGCCAATCTGAAAGTTTGCATCACCCTGGTTTCCAACAGGATTTTTCCATTTGCTTTTGAATAATTGCAGAAAAGAAGCTCTGTGACCAAAAAAAGTAACATGACTTTAATTATTTTCAAAGAAGGCTGAATGCAATAGCCATAAGTAAGAAAGGAAAATCATGTTATCCAATTGTTAGCAACCACCAAGACGAGTAAAAGTAAAAAATAAAATAAAAATCACAAGGTTGATGTATTTTATGTCAATGTGAAAATATCTTAAACTTGTTCACTGCAGACCTTAAGAAAAAAAACAAAAAAAAAAAAAAACATTGCCTTCAGGATGTGCTAAAATGCTAATTTCTGGGTTTTGATCTACAAAAATAAAAAATAGCCTACATCATCCCTGCAGAACTCAAAAAAGTCTAATTAGAAAAATATAACAGCACCCATTTGGACTTCCATAAGTCATTATTTTTGCAATTCCTTTTGGTGCCACTATGAAATCTAACTATTCTAAATCAAATCTCTAAATGAAGATGCATTTAGGTCTAATAAAAAAGAGAGGGGGTTTTTTTGTCAAAGAGTGTTTTTTTTTTTTGTCACGCATGCGTGCAGCTTTACAGGAGCATTGGGTTAATCTATTACATAATGATGTAAGTAAACATGACGGCAGTAGATGAAAGACCCAGGGACGTTTAAGTTCTCGTCACGGTTCGAAGGTCAAAGCTTTGGAAATTACTTAAAAGAATACGACCTTGACTTTTAGCCTACAAACATCAGACACAATACCAAACCCCCCAGACGTCACATGTCACCTCGTTCCAGAGACTTCTAGAGTTCATCCGATGACCAGACCGCCGTAGAAATATACATACGCAGTTCATGCACCGATCCATAGGCAATAACTGAGAACTTTATTGGGTGATCTAACAACAGCAGTTATCATACCTGTAAACATGTTACAGAAATGAATTCAACTTAATGTCAATAATATATATTTGAAGAACACATCCATGAATACCATGCACATAACAAGACATTTTCCATATGCAATATTGAAATTAGACGACCTGTCATTTACTCTACACAACTTACTTTTCTAAACTTCATATTCACAATTTGTCTAATGCACAGTGTTCCTCGTCAGCGACACACTTAATTAAACATAAATGAATAAAAGACATACGTAAAGGACGGTGTATATTTCTAATGCCAAACAATAGCAACATTTCACATGCTATTTTAACTGGAAGAGTAAAGTCCTTTTTCGCCCAGTGTCCTTGAGTATATTTGGTTGCAGGGTTTGATGACTAAGATATTTGCGTCACATTTGTATTCATGAGGTTTTGTTCTTTAAGGCATTTACTGAACGAGAAATATACAGAAGTAACTGGGTTTTCAGGTTTTTCTCAGTTGAATCACTAAAGCTCATCACAGGGGTTCAGGAGGCGAACGAGCAAAGGCGAACGCTGTTCTTCCATTCTGATTGGAAAGAAAACATTATGCAGTTTGAGTTTGGAAGTGAGATTACTTTGTTTGGAGGAAAATTGTGTGTGATCAGGAGATCTTTGGAGATATGACACCTCAGTCATCGGCCTCGACGTTGTTTTGATTCAGCAGAACATGCCAGCGTTCGATCTTCTTGTCCTTGTTCTTCAGACATTCATACCAGTGCTTCAGACATTCCCCTTTAGCGGTGATACCAAGCTGGCATCCACCTGTGTGGAAGAGACACATGAGAACTTAATGTTGATATTTTGGCCAACATATCGACCGGCAGAAATTTTCATAAATGATTTTCAAAAATCATTTCTATTGGTCCCGCGTTTACTATACCCCTTTCTGTGGGTTTTGCAAAAACATAAAGGATAATTCTGGTATTTAGCACTTTCTTAGTCTATTTTCTAGTTTGTTTTGGATGAACTAGAGTAGTGGACACTAGACTTGTAGTCAAGACCAAAGATATGTATAGACAAATCCGACGAGCGTTCTGTGTAGGCTGCCATCTTGTGGCGACGCCATTACTGAGCTGTTACACCGGTATGTAAACAAACCTCGGTGATAACGCGAAAGCACCCTCGATGACAGCTACAGCCAGGCAGAATGACTTGTTGGGTTGATGATGTTAGACAGTGGCCTCCAGTCACAGATTATTTATGAAAATAGCTCGGCAAGTTGACAGGCTAGCTAGGCTAACGTTTGCTAACGAGGAAACTATAAAAAAGTTCACTATCACTATATCACATATTTATAATATTTTTTTACTTATGTCATTAAATAATTGTTATTATACGCGAATGTCCACGTCTTGTACTCGCCCAGGAAATCTGTGTAAACCGTACGGCACCAGACAGGGGCAGTCGACCCGGGGTATTCACAATGTTTTCTCTTCAAAATTGAAATTTTACTGCCAATTTATATGAAATTAAATGA